TATATTTTTTTTTTTTTTTTTAAGTGGGTGGGGGGGGGGGGGGCCCTCCAGTTTCAAAAGGAGTATCTTCCCTCCCAAAAGGAGTACTTCCAGGGCACAGGGAGGGACTTCCAGTGGCAAAGGTCAGGGGTTAGGAGGCGGGATCTCCAGTCTCAATACAGTGACTATGGGAGTGGCAACTGTCAAGTGGCAGGCTACCCATATGGCTCTCAACAGCTCATCAAAACTCTGTTTGTGGTCCTCCACCCAAAATAATTCCTGCCCCGGGTTACCCTATGAATCTGATGAAGTAAGCACACTGTTTATGAAAGCTTATGCTATGCAGCTCTGATTTAGTCAGGCTATGACAGAGATTCTCAACCAGGGTACCTTGAGATCCTTGAAAACTAAGAGCTGGCATTTTTCAAGGGAAGCACTGAGTCTATCCAAGGATACCTCAAATCTAAACAGGAAGAAAACCACGAGTTTGTAAAATGCAAATCTACCCTGCCTTCTATTCACTCTATGGACACAGTGAATGGAGAGGCAAGGCCCAAGCCATAAACCTAAAGCAAACAGTGCTACCCAGATGAGGAGACTGTAAAGTGAGCAGATGGTATATTGAAAAGCAGCCATATGAAAAATTTTAAAAATTGCCTTGGATTCATATGGGGGTATATTTGCCACTCTCAATGTGGGACAACATTGCTTTTAGAGGGTGCATTATCCTACCTTTTAAAAATGAGAACAGTTTGAGCTACCACAGATTAACGCAGTCACGTGTCTACAGCCTATGCAGTGAATGTGTCCCTGGGTTAAAAACTTTGTAGGACTATGTCAGAAAAAAGCAGAATGAGAAATCCTGTGCTGTACTGATAATGCCCATGTTGCAGGTCGGGGACCCAGGAGCGGCCATGATCTCTCCTGGCGCTCCCTACCGTGCCAAGTTGCCTATTAAGCACCCTCTGTATCTCACCCGCCACATCTTTGATGATCTAATATATTATAAGGGAGGCTGCCCTTTTGTCCCCTTGGACACGGTGTGCTTGTTTATCCTGGTCCCTGCTCTGTATAGCTCGATCCCTGTTGTACCCAGCCTTATGGGCTGTGTGTGGCTCCTACCTCCCCTTATACCACGCCCCAAGCCTCTCAGATGTCCCGGACGTTGTTGAGTCAGTTATTCGTGCTCACCCTCTCCTGGGGCCTCTCAGTGTACTCGCCCTCTCCTGGGGCCTCTCACTGTGCGCCCGCCCTCTCTGGGGCTTCTCAGTGTGCGCCCACCCACTCCGGGGCTCTACGAGATACTCTCGCCCTCCCTGGGGCTTTGCTCGCGCTCACACCCTCCCTGGAGCCCTTCCTACACAACACTACCCCACTGGGGCCTTGCTTGTGCTCATGCCCGCACTGGGGCCTGTCTCTGTGATCACGCCCACACTGGGGCTCAATAAGGCTCAGGTGGCCTCAGCCTCACCTGGCCCTCAGACCCCCTTTCCGGGTCCTCCACCCCACTGGGG